TAATTTGGGGTGTTACATAAAAATTCAAAAACTTTTTTTAGAAATAATATTGAGAAATGTGTTATTTAAAAAAAAAAGTTTTTAAGGTTTTAATTTTCATAATTTGATCTATATAATTTTTTTTTTTATCTAGATTAATTTTTAATTCAAATTGAACTTGAACCTTCAAAAATTATTCAAATAAGTTATTTTCCACTAATTTTTTTTAATATTGTTTATGTCAATTTGTGGCTGACATATAATACAGAACATGTATTGTTTCTTTAAAAAAAATTGATACTTAAATTATTAAAAACAAAATTAAGTATTACTTTCTTTTCTCTTTTTTTTTTCTTTTTTTTCCCCCTAAAATTCTGCCTTATTTTCTTTTCTTTTCTTCCTACCCAAAAACAAAAATAATGACACAAATTGCAAATAAACTCTTGAATTTTTCTCTCCTTTTTTTCATCATGCATCCACTTCATTCTCGGTCTCTCATTTGCAAGTTTCTAAGATGAATCCTTATGATAATGAAGTAATTATGAAAGAGGTCATCCTCTATTTTCTCTATTATCAAGTGACTCCCCCAAAAGAAACTATGACTCTGACATCTTCTAATATTCAACCATCTTCCCTTTCTCCGATGCTAATTAATACCCAAATTTTCATCCAAACTCAAGAATCATATTCACTTATGACTTCTTCTTAAAGAATTTTTATTTCACCATTATTATTTTTAAGATCGATCTTTGTGATTCTAAACAGTTTCAAATCTAAAATAAAATGAAGATAATATAAATTATTCGAAAAATAAAGATAGAACTATGCAAAATGAAGATTTCAAGTTCTTTTAAATATATTTGTGAATAACAGTGAATTAAAAAATTACTATGAAAATAAATAAAATTGATTATTATATTTATTTAATTTTTATAGCATAGGAGAGAGAATTTGCCAAAATTTCAAGAGTTGTATGAGTTTATCTAACATTCTATTTCAATATTTAAAACCAAAATGAAAGTGACAATTTTCAACTTTAAAAGGATGAACTAAAGGAAGTTTGATGGCAACCAAGCGGGGTTGCTTTTTATCAAGAGAAAATATTTGTTTCTATTGCCTGAATTTTGCTTCACATTTGAGAAAATAATGTTTTTTTTTAAATTTAACTAAAAGAAAAAAAAATCTAAGATCAATAAGCGAAATACTCAAAGAGTGTTTGTAACAACCCCGGAAATTTAAATGAATATGTATGTATAAAAAATTTTAAATACGAAAGCAAAATAAAAATTTTGATTAACATCCCTTACA